CACTACAGTCTTCGCTCACGCAAAACCCTCTCATTCAGATTCGTCACCTTGCCGCTGGTCTGTCCCGTCAGATGTCGAGGATCGAGATACAAATGGCCGACAATGCTCCTTTCGCAAACGGAAAGAATCTATACACTGGTGGGGAGATAGCGCAAAGGTTCCTCCCGCCGATACAAACACTCTTCCAACAGCGGCCCGTACCCCAGCGCATGATCTTCGAACTGCTCATGGAGTTGAAAGACCTTATTTACATGGGTATGGCAGGCTGTGAGAAGGAGGTCTTGGAGTGGGAGGTGGATGGCGCTGCTATCGGAGCGTTGGAGGAGCTGGATGACGCGATGGTCAGAGCAGTCACACCAACAGTACCAGCCATCGAACCGGAGCAACGAAAAGAGGTTGAGACTGGGCCCAGGCGTATATTGAGGCGCAAAGCTTCGAGCCTCATCTCCAACTCTGTTGTAGTGCAACAGCCCGTATCATTCCTCCTTGCCGCGCCAGAAGAACTCCTTTACAGTCTCGAATCGCTCGAAACAACCGCGCTCGCGCTTAGACACCTCCCACTCCCTATACCCGATCTCTGCGCACACGCCATTATAACTCTCCGTCGTCTCACACCCCGGCAAACTCTCACAGATTTCTCACAGCAGAAGAAACGAAGGAATGGCCGGTGTGCAGAGTTCGCGCGTTGTATGAGGTGGGCTGGTACGCAGTGGCGGCAAAACGGCGGCTGTAGAAGAGGTTGCTTGAACGAAGACGAAGATCCTGAAAACCTTCCTAGCTGGCATAGGAGTAGTCGCTGGTTCGACGAGAAGGGCAGTGGGACGTTTATGGTCGGTGGAGGAAGGGCGACGCCGAAAGACGACGGATTTGGAGTCATCAAGATGACGCCTTCGTAGGCTGCCCGCGGTGGGATTCGGAGACCCTTTCGGAACTGGCGTTATGGATGTACATGTACGATGGGATGGATTTGGATGATACTCGGCGCAACGATACCCTTTTTGATTTCTTGGTATATATAGGGTAGGAGAACCGCTTCTGTGAATACACTGATGAAGCCTTCGGAACGGACTAGAGGCATTGCTTCGTCTATATATGGCGAGAGAGAGTGCACAGTCACTAACACGGACAGGAATGTAATGTACTACGTAGTCATGTTTGAGATATCTCGATCTCTTTGTACCTTTGCCTCCTCAGGTCGCACGAGACCCGCTCTTCTTTAGTTCACGATAACGTTGAAGACCCTGTTAGGAGTCAATCGGCTGTGGGTCACTAAAGACTCAATGCTTGAGTTGGTGTCCGCCTCTCAGATCAGATTCGGGCGTCTCTAGTGCTGTATACGGTCACTTGGGGGTCTGGTGAGTCGTAGACTCACACGTACACATAAACTCACATGCTAAGATCGTCTTGAGTCGAAGCGCGAGGGAACAGTCACTGTGTAACGTTTGTCGAGTATAAAAGGCGGATGTCTGGCACAATATCTTGCTTCTTACACTACATCTCTACCCAAGCATCGATATCAAACGAGCAGCAACCAAATTTTCCCGAAGTCTTCTACCACAAATCCAACCCACTGCCATTCAGCAAGTCAAAATGACTACAGGCATTCCCATAGACGATCCCTTCTACCAAGCCCCTCCACCCATCGTAGATGTCGAATACGGAAAGCCCTTCTACTTTACAAATCCCGCGCAAGGTCTCGAAATCACAGATCCCTTAGTAGGAAAAGGAGTCCGAGAAAGTGGCATCAATGGCCCAAAAGTCCTTCAGGACTCTACCACCAAAAAGACATATCTCTGGTAGAACAGCCAAGACCCCGTGGAAGAGACCAGCTATCAGACGTTTGTCGACACCCGGGAGAGAGACAGCTGGAAGAGATACACCGTTGTGTGGCGATGGATCAGGTGCGGACCGAGGCTATGCGGGAACGTCAAAAATCCAGAGGATTTGACGTGCCCATGTGGATGGAGACTGCTTATAGACGCTAAGCCGCCTGGGTGGAAAGAGGGGGACGGGTTGAAGGCGGAGACGGAGGGATGGAAGAATGATGTTAATCCCTTCGCTATGGACTACAAAGGAGATGCCGTTGGCGACTGGGATTTCGACACGTTGAACGGTGTTTTGTGGAGGAAGCAAATTTCCAGTGGCAAGGAGGAACAGGTGAAGTACAGTCAGGTACCGGTTAAGGGTGGTTGGATCGGTCGGTGGCCAGGTTTTCAGTAGTCTGGACTTTCGGTAGAGTGCTTGTTTGGTGGCACATAGATTAAATCTTTTTCTTGGGGAAATAGATTGGTCGATGTCTTCTCTAATGCTGTATTTGATGTCTTCAAGCTGGTTATCGGTGTCTCAACTGCAAATTGATGTAAAAGCCCATATGGCTTGAAGCGGATGATTGTATGAGTATTCCGCTTACAGCTTCCTCCTCTTCCCAGAGCCTTGCTCTTCTTCCGGGTTGGTCGATTCTTCTCTCGATTCGTATGCGCTGTCATGGGTTTTCGACATTGATGAGCTACTGTCGGACTTTTTGTGCGTTCCTAGATATGATCCCATGGCTGTTTGACGAACCGTCTGCATCATGGAGCTAGATTTAAAGTCCTCTGGGTGGGCGGCGGTTATCCATCGAAAACCCGGGTTGGTCGGTTCTTCTCTCGGTTCTTCCCTCGGTTCATAGGGTTTCGACTTTGATGAACTACTGTTGGACGTTGTGTGCGTTCCCAGATATGACCCCATGGCTGCTCGACGGATGGTCGACCTCATGGAGCTAGATTTAAAGTCATCGGGGTGGGTGGCGATTGCCCATTGAAGATCTGGGTTGTTCGTCGGGGGTTTATCAAAACTTCGTGGTTGTATGTCTGGATTACAAAATGTCAGTTCTTTGTGTTCACGGAGACTCTATTGACTACCCACGAAGCGAGACATTTAGAGGACCGGAAAAGACGTACCTTCACAGTTTGAGAGCGAGGAGAATGAATTTGATGTAGAGCCTGAGTCTTTTGCGAGGCGTGTTCTGCTCGGTTTTCCGTGTGGTCTTGAAACGCCATATACGCATTTTACGTTGGAGCGGCTGCAGCGTTCACAAACTGGATGCTCTTTGCTGCACTTCACTTTAGATGCAGTACAGGGGTCGCAAGAAGACCGGAGCTTCAGATTCGGATCCCTTTTATTGGGTGGTTGAGCGTACAGTGGGGTGGCAAGTGGGGTGTCATTCCTGGGTGGACGTCGACCCACTAACCTAGAACCAGGCGCCGCATAATGAGAGGACTCTGCCTGTGTTCTAGTGTCTTTATTTTATCAGTACAGTGAAACAGTGACGATTGCACAGCATGTTGGGTAAACACACGAACCTTCAAGATCAGGATCATTTTTCGACCATTGAGTTCCTGATTCCTCGAACACCTGAGTTGCCGGTACGATATATACAACCTCTTTGGTCGCAGAGCTCATAAAGACATGACCATGAGGTTGCTCGGTCACGGCGTCTAAGACCGCAACACCACAATCGCCCCATTGCAAGTGTGAGTCCAGGATGGTTTGGTAGACCTTTTGGAAAGTCAAACTGCCTGGGAGCCGCACATAAGTTGCATCATGGAAAATTCGTCCAGTGATAAGGCCTCGCGAAGAATGTGCCACAACCTTGGTCACCTCAGATTCTACGGCTGCTTTTCCCTTTTGAATCTTACTTGGCATTTTGGGTTTGAGCTCGTGCACTGCAGCGGCGACGCTCGAGTGCAAGATAGCGATGACTGCCCAGTCCAAATCTGGAGAATACTTCATCATGTTGCCCAAATGCTCGAGGTTTGCCACATCTGGTAAACTTTGATCACTGGAAACCGAATGCACCTCAGAGTAACCAGTTGGCGGAGGTGATGAGGACGTTGAATCGGGAGGCAGTGATTCAGGTTGTTCGTTGGGACTCTCTTCCAATGAGCTCATACTCGCGCGTGATGTTGCGGCCAAACAATCGTCTTCAATCTCATCCTCAGTTCCACTTCCAAGGTCAAAACTGTTGTCGCTTGCGATCGGTGTAGCGGGCGGTGACGATGTGTCGCTGTGGAACACATGTGCGACGGAAAGATAAACAATTATTTCTCCGTGAAAAACAGCATTGGCTGTGGCTCTCCGCAAAACATTATCGGCTTGCTTGACGAAGATGGGCATTCCGATGGCCGTCACAGGGTGGGAGGGGTCGAAGTATACCTCAAACTCCGGATGAGGTCCATTCAGTCTTTGGACTTTTTTACCTCCCCCTGCAGGTTGTATCAGAATTCCAACTCCGGGTCGTCTCACAAGATGTCCAGTTCGAAATCCTGGGAGTTTAACCAAGAGTCCGCCTTCGTCCACAGTCTTCTTAGCCATCTTGCGCGGTTCTTTCTCCTCGCAAAAGAACATGATGGTAGGTATCGCTGATTCCCCTGACCGACCTATCATGTATAGATGAAAAGTTACGATGCTAGAGTATCGCTCCGTAAATACTGAGTTGAGCTGTTCCACAATTTCAGGCACAACGATGCTGAACTGCTTCCTGGCTGGTCCTGCAGCATGCCACCAGTGTCTACCGTGGAAGATGCCGATCTCGGTTCCGATACATGCACAGACGTTCGGATAGGGTTCTGTCGCGGATTTCCAGAACTTGGCTCGGCTAAGGTATCGTTCGCCCATGATGGCCTCACACCGTGCACGTGTGCCAACGAGCCTACGACATTGGCTTCTTACACGGCGCGAATCGGGAGGGGATAATAACAAGAACGTTTGGAACATACGCTGAAGATATGCGAAGTAATCGAAAGTATGAAGTGAGGGGTTGCTATTTACTTGAGCGATGGGGGCTCAGCCGCGTGGAGGCGTTGAGGTGCGCTGGTATTGCAGATCGTACGAGCTTAACCGGTCAGAGATGCAAGCCCACGAAGGCGGTGCAGAGCCTTGCGAGCTGCCAACTTATAAACGACTCTGCCACGTACGTGGCTAGGGACATGCAGCGGGTGTCGAAGCAACTCGAGTCCAGAATGTCGACCTCAAATGGCCCGCTTGATGAAGTCCTCCAGGACCCTGTGACGCCCCAGGCTAGAGTGGAGATTGTGCAGCGGTTATGGCGAGGTGGTAGAGAAGCATCGTCAAAACCAGCCCCTTTCGCATGGGATGCATACTTTGGATACTACACTCGGGAGTGTAATGCAGCCCTCACTGATGAGGGCGCCCATCTCTGCTCAAGAACGCATCGAAGCCTTTTGCAGGTTACGCACCTGCTAGAAGACGCGGCCGACCAAGAGGAAATCAAGGAAAGGCTACGCCAGATGCTCACAACGCAGAGGACAAGCGCAGACGAGAAGAAGATGTTAGACGGTTCTCTGAAGTTAGCAACTCGCATATTTGCGATGATCAGCATCGGTCCGCTTTCATCCGAGATATCCGCGAAGCATTCCCTGCCCTGGGCCCAAGGCGCATTCACGGATGCCGTGCATGAATACTTCAATCAGCCTCCAGATATCGAACTGGATCCCAAGGAGGATGTTGTCAGTGCAGATCTCATATGCCACAACATTGAGCGAATGTCAGGTATTGAGGTGCTTTGGACCGATAATTTGCTCGATCATTTGCGCCTCGTCGAAGGAGACAAGAAGCTTTGTGTCTTCCATCATGCGTCGTTCTTGAGAAAGATGATGGCCATTGAGAGGTATGTAATCCTTATCATGTGATCGGATAGCGACGTTGACGACGAAGTGGTACAGTCCAATCTTCCCAGGCGGTCTTATCGAAGAAACGCTAGATACGCTGGCTCTGCTGTTCCCAGAGTCGGATCGCAAAACGAAACGGTGGCTATCAATGAAAGGCCGAGCAAACTCAGCGCAGATGCCGATAGATAGCACATTGGGAAAATGTGGTCGCTATCGACCTGGGCATCCATCCAGGCGCCTGGAGCGATTCCAGTTCTGGCGTGATCGGTTGGTCTTACTGGGGGAAGCAGTCGAGGAAGCCACGCCAACGTCCAAGGCGTTGCTAAAAGCCCTGTCAGACAGCAAGAAAGGCGATCACTGGCTCAACTCCTGGATAGCGATTGTGGCGATAGGTCTTACCCTCTTCTTCGGTCTGGTGCAAAGCATTGAGGGTGCCATACAGGTATACAAGGCGTATCATCCGCAGGCAGAGTCGGCATAGGGATAGCGCAGCTCCCGGTGAGAGCGACAAGAGGTCATCAGAGCTAGAGCGCGCAAGAATAGAAACGAACGATAGTAAAAGCTAGACATCTCCAGTGGCGCAACTCGGCAAACCGAAGGAAACTGCACGCGACAAGAACCGGCGTGTAGAAAACACGAGTGGCGCAGTGGGACCTCTACATTAGCGTCCCCGCGGCCAGCCTAGCGCCGTCAACACAGGGTCCAAAAACCCCGGCTCGCAATCTCAGCCTATTCTGCCGCATGCAGCAACAAGTCCCTTCCCTACGCGAGAACTCCACCACTCCACCACTCCACCCCAAGCTCGCTGCAGTTGCCCCGCAAGAGGCGAACATATCGTCATCTGTGTAATCATAGTGGATACAGGCGACCAGCTTTTGTCGCGGCGAACTTGATGTTTCTGGGAAGGTACGAGAGCTGCAAGAGTCGATTGATAGACCGGACGAAAATGTTGTTGAGGAAAGGGCGATGGGTAGCGTGGAGATAAGGATGCAGCCGGCCTGCAGCAAGCACATTTGCGGTGTCGAGCGCTGATTAGCATACGCGGGTCATGCTGACGTCATGGGTTCTCCGCGGCTTCCTTCGCGTGAGGAAGATCTTTGGTTGAGGGGTGGAAAGATGGGGAATGCGATTTTGACAGCAATGATGCCAGACACCGCTCTTTTGTGGGTGTTTGTTGTGGGTCGTTGTGATATTCGCCTGGAGGCTGGGGACGTGAATTGTGAGGAACGCTTTTTTTGAGTACCTGGATAGTATGGGAAAATCAGCAAGACAATCAAGACACAGCGAAAGATGATAGTATAACGATCAAAGGCTGTAATTAAAATGCTATTTAAAAACGCTCAGTATAACACTTTCTTTTTGGGAAACGCCAGTAGAAAATCCATCTATCATCTATATGCTTCGCATGCAATGCCAAAAAGTAAAGACCTAAAGCCTGGTTGAAAGCGACACAAAACGTTTGCCGCCCTGGGGGTATCTCTTTCTTTAAACGCACACCTAAGCGTACTTCTCAATCATAGCAAGAGCGCCCTCGCGCTCGAGGCCCTCCAATGCGACCTTGAGCTCAGAGACGAAGCGCTTGTCGTCACGGAGATCGTTACCGAAGAGGGTCTTGATCTCAAGCTGAGCCATGGGGCCCTGGGCAGCATAGGACTGGAGCTCCTCGACCATGGGGTCGTCGACGGTGAAGGCCTTGCCGGCGTCGTCGATGCCGCTGTTGTAGCGGAACCAGGCGGCGGCTACGAGAGTGAGGCGGCGGAGAGGTCCGTTGGCAACGATCTGCTCGGCGATGCTGGGCATGATGAACTGGGGGATCTTGCCGGAGCCACCAAGGCAGATACGGGGAAGCTCGTCCTTGAGGGTGGGGTTGGAGAAACGGCCGAGGAGGGTGTTGATGTAGTCATCGACGCTGACACCGGGGATCTGGGGAAGGAGCGGCTTGACTTCCTGGTTCATCATGTTGATGACGAACTGGCGGTAGACGGGGTGGCCGATGACCTCGTGGATGTAGGTGAAGCCAGCGAGCTGACCGGCGTATCCCATGGCGGAGTGGCTGCCGTTAAGGAGGCGGAGCTTGATCATCTCGTACTCCTCGACCTTGTGCACGTCGGGAACGATCTGGACACCGGCCTTCTCGAAAGGTGGGCGGCCATCGACGAACTTGTCCTCGAGAACCCACTGGTGGAAGGGCTCGGTGACAACAGGCCAGGCATCCTCAACACCGAAGTTCTCGGCTAGGCTGACCTTGTCCTCGTCGTTGGTACGGGGAGTGATACGGTCGACCATGGAGTTGGGGAAGGCACCGTTGTTGGCGATCCAGTCGGCGACCTCAGGGTTCTGGTGGCGGGCGAATGAGACCAACATGTTGCGGCTGATGTCACCGTTCTTCTGCATGTTGTCGCAGGAGAGAACGGTGAAGGGACGGAGACCAGCGGCGTGGCGCCTCTCCATGGCAGCGTAGAGGTAACCGAAAACAGTGCGGGGTGGCTGCTCACCAGCCAAGTCGGCGGCAACATCTGGGTGGTCGGTTTGGAGCTGGTGGGTGTTCTCGTTCATGTAGTAACCGCTCTCGGTGACAGTCATGGAAACGATGTGGGTGTCGGGATGAGCCATCTTGGCGATGACAGCCTCAGCGCTGTCGGGAGCAAAGAGGTAGTCGGTGATGGAACCGCAAACGCGGGCAGTGGTACCCTCAGCGGCACGCTCGATGATGGTGTAGAGGTTGTCTTGGGGCTTCAGGGCATCGCGCATGGGAGCAGCGAATGGCTGAAGGTCAACACCGCAGATGGACCAGTCCTTTACGGCGAATTGCTCAAGAAGAGTGTCGACGTAAGCTGCGAGATGGGCTCGGTGGAAACCACCAACACCAACGTGGACAATGCCTTGCTTGACGCCCTCACGCTGGTAGGTGGGGACAGCGACATTCTGGAGTTGGGAGAGGTTCTTGCTGCTGAGCTTGAGGGGAGCTGCGGGTGTTTGGCGCTGAGATGTGGTGGTGCCAGCGGTAAACTTCTCCTCGTTTCGTTGGGAGGATGTCCTGGGAGGGGCGTTGTAAACGTTGTTGTTCTCAGGTGTCCGGCGAACGGCCTCGGAGCTCTGGAACCTGAGGGCAGCAGGGCGGGAGGGCCTAGTGGACTGGAAAACAGCGCGGGCGCGGGCGGCGCGCAGCAGGTTCCTGGGGACTTGAGGAGGCATGGTAGAATAATGTGAGAATGGAATGAGAATACTGGAATACGTGGATGAGAGCAGAGGGAGATACGGTGCTCTAGTATTTATAAAGCGTCAGCCCAATCCTTTTTGTGGGCACATGCGTAGAACCTTGAGCATGGTGCCAAAAAAAAGTCGGATTAGGGCCCCTATTTTTTCGGAGGGTCTAGACATGGTGGATTACACAGTATGAGTCGGGACTCGCAGGCTGATAGCCTGTGCTTCGGAAAACGTGGGTTGGCAAAAGGAGGCTGCGGCTTGCATTGTGTTGTGTACGTCGCGGCCTGGTGGTGCGTGCCAAAACGCCAAAACGCCCCAACTGAGCCGCAACACCTGGGCAACTTCACGACACACCCCGAATAGATTCAAACTTTTTGCCCTGACGCGTCTCTACACAAGACCCAGTTTTTAGACTGGACAGGGGTTTCAGACTTTGCGCTCCCGCTTCCGCTCGCAGATGGGGGAGCCACAATTGCGCCGTAGTGCCTGTTGGCAGGCGATTTTGTGCGAGGTGCACAACTATTGCGTGCTAGGTGAAGGATGTTCAAGGGACTACTGAAAAGGCTGTGGCTTGCGTCCACCAGAACCTCACCGCCGCCGGCTTGCGTGGGGGGTGCGGTCCGCCAGGAACACCGACGCTTGGAAGCATGTCGGCTGCGTCGCCGACACAAGGCTTGCATCTTGCATCGACCAGACCGCGTCTTCGTCCACCTTGGCAATAATGCAACAACCCCCAACGTCCATCGTCGTGGCGACTACAACCCGCGCGCATGGCCTCCGCTGTCAGCCTGGCTATCTATGCACCTGGGGTAGCGGGTCGAAGTTTGGGGCTGGGGGTTATCCCGACGCCCATGCGAATCAGACATGTCGAGACCGCCATCGTATCCGTGTTGAGACGATGCCCTCCGCCTCGCCTCCTCGTTTCCAGATTCTTCGATTCTGGATCCCCCCATGACTCGTTCACCGACTTGTCCTTCTGCGAGGATCCTGTCCAACGGCCACCAAAAGGATCTGCGGCCTGCAGCTGAGCCTCATGCATGCTGTTGCACGGCACATCATCCCCGCCATAGCTCTGCGTTGCAGCTATCAGATCGTCCTTAGCCTAAGCCCTAAGCATACCGACCGCCCAACGGAACTTTCTTAGCTTTTCCGCGCTACCTGTACCGCGTCAGTAGCGTCTCAACTGCCACCGGTAGTACTGCTTTCGCACAATCCGAGAGACGACCAGCTGTGGGCGTGGGGATGCGACCTTGCGACGCGGTCCTAATCTCCACCGGAAATCGCAACATCACTAACAAGCCCGAAGATAAGCCTCGCAGCGACCCACGTCCACGGTCCGGGCTGTCATGGTTATTTCCAGGTTCCACAAGCCGCATGTCCTAGAAGGAAGGCAGTAGCGACCTTGCACCTTCTTCCCGGGCAGCCACCATGGAGACCAGCTGGTCCATGCCATGGGGGTAGTCCGGAGAATACCTCTCTCGGCAGAAGAGTTCGATGCGAGCTTAGCGGGCCGGCTAGACCCCAGCTCAGCAATGTACTCATTTGCTTTTCGCCAGGTCATGGCCGCTCGAGACGGTCACCTGGGCATGGTATCAGCGCAAAAGGGCCTGTTCGCGAATCATATGACGGGGATATTGAAACGTGGGCGTTAGTCCGTGGAGGATGCCGCATCCTCTCATGACAACATCTCGATGTGTGCACGCTGCGTGTTACGGTTTTTGCTTTGTTAAGTTTTTCAGGTTCGTTGGGCGAAAGTTAATCAACCCCACGAGTACGCGTATCGTGATCGAACGATCTTGGCGACGCTATTGGAGAACGCGCAAGCCTCTACGGAGTCGGACTCAAAGAGATGGGAGGGACGGAAAGGGGGATGCGAGATGTTTGATTCCAAGTGTTGTTTTCCTCGCGGGTAAGGACACGATGCCGAAGAAGGCATCGTACTGCTACAGAAAATCATGCAATTCTGGCTCGGCATCTTTCACCGCATCCACCGACATGCTCTCTCACAGATCTGACAATAACACTTCCCGCATCTTATCATACTGCGGACTCCCGAGTCCCGAAGCCATATCCCATCCCGGACCCGCTGGGAAGCCATCCATACCGCCTCCCGGATTATATCTCACAAGAATATCATTGAATATCTCCGGATTGTCGTATATGTCCCAGTTCAAAGTGCCAAGTGGTTCTTTGCCATCCGCCAATCGCTCGTCATTGATCATATTGATCATGCTGGCAAAGCCGGGTGCAGAAGCCGACGCACCACTCACAGGTCTCGTGGTATTGAGAATCACTACTGGGTAGTTGACGCCAATGACTGCGACATCTGGGTATGCGCGACCTGAGCGATTATAGCGCCCTTCTCCGTATGCCGGTGCTGAGTTGGAAAGCCAGCCCGAGACAGCGTCGTCCTGGTAGCTTGGGCGGGGAAAGACGTTGGAAAATCCACCGCCGGAAAACGTGGCTGCCATTTCGCCGCCGGCAATGGTACCATCTTGCAATGTTGTGGCGCCGACGCAAAGGACCTATTGGAAATGAGTATAGCTGCAAAATGAGATTGAAAGGACGAATGAGTGGATGCTTACATAAGGGCATGTGCAAGGGAATGATGGTGGGAACTGCTCGTCGGAAGACCCAGCGCCAATATCTCCTGATGCGGCAACGATGGTGACGCCTTGCAACCCCAGCTTCATGTACTCGTGACATTGGCGTTCAAGGTAAGCACGAGAGAGCTGGCTCTCCAAAAAGCTGTATGAGATGGAGATGACGTTGCTCATTGGCGCACCTCCGCATGGTCCGTTCTTTGTGCCTTCTCCTTCATCGTTTTCGGGGAATCCCGGGCCAAGGTACTGCTCGTTGCCGCCCGGGTGGGTACAGTATGTAGGATCCTAGCTACGTTAGCTGTTGCTGCGTCACGTGGAAGATAGTAAGATACTCACCAACGCGTCCAGAAATAAATCGAAACCGTTAATATACTTCGACTGGCCAATTTGATAGAATCGTACCTTTTGAGGGTAGATGATGGAGGTCGAGGCCTGAACGTCCAAAGCAGTCTCACCTGTCTTGTCAGCTTCTGCCAGAGACAGATCTCCGGGTTTGCCACCATAAACGTAGACGGATTCTGGCTCAACATCCAGGGGAATCCGAGGGGACGTCCAGTTTCTCAAGTATTCTTTGAAGTCTGGAAGATAGAGATAGTTACCAAGCCCGAAAATACCAAGCTCATTTCCGGTATTGTTGTGACTGGCAATGGGAACGTTGTACAGAGCGCGGAAGCAATGGACGGTAAAAAAGATGTGACAGGTCGACAGATCATCCGCACCACCATGGGCAGTGATATGATCAGCAATAGCCATGGGCTTCGTCGCTGTTTGTACATGAGCCATTGGACGTAAGCCGTCGAGCTGTATTGTGGGCGTGATGTAGTCGACATGTTCGCGAACGTGCTGTGGAAGTTTGTAGTCGTCGCATGCCATGCGAAGACCACCGGATTCCTTTTCATGGAAGTTGTAATACTCCGTGTGGAATAGGTCCTCAATCTCACCAACAGTGGCTGGGAACATGATCCAATCCCGTCCTACGTACTGTCAGTTCTCATTACACTCGGGCACGATAGGCAATGACATACTAGCTGAGAACGTCATGCGACTGTCCTCGACTCCAGCTGCATGGAGCCAGTCGAGAGTCGCGTTTGTGGTTGCTGGATGAGGCGCAAATGTACTGTGGACTCGCTCGGCCGTCCAGCGCTTTCCTACATGATATGTAAGTATACCACATAAACGACGAGTTCAGGTTTACGTTACGGAAGTTGGGTGAGGTTCGATTATGCATATCTTGGAGTGAGAGTTCGCCGTGCTTCAAGTTCTGCTGCTTCAGCGCGATTCGCACCGGCAGTACTGCATCCCTTGATGCACGTGAGTCTCTATCCCAACCTATCGGGTCCGCCTCTCGCTTCTCGTGGATGACGTGAAAGCCAACTGGGAAAGCGGCAGCTATGGTGCTGAGCCAAAGGAGGAACACTACTAGGAAGCGCATCGTTTCCAAGATGTACTGGGTCTGTGTTAAGTTGTGTAATGTTCTGTAAATCTGTCTTAGTCTGTGTGACTTTGTATGAGTTGTGATGAGTTTGAAGAAGAAACGAAGGTGAAAGTGCCATTCATCTTATACTACTCCAGATGATTTTTTTCATGCTGATTGTAGATACTGTACCTTGGTTTACGAGATCGACTACCACAGTACTACGATGGCAAGTTGTGAATACCTTGTTGGCGATTGGTCATTGCAATACCACGGTACTCCCAAGCGAAAAGCTGGGCAGCCAGATTTTACGGTGTGCATCCAAAAAAAAACTCTTGATAGGGCTACATTGCCTTAATATGTCTCAAACCTTACGTTGTTGTGGGGATGTAGGCTCCAGAGCACCTGTTCAGTTGTGGTTATGGTCAGAGCCCACAACGAGACACCTAAAAAATTTGAACGAAAAGGTTATTAGATAATGGGATGATTAGCACGACCGCGATCTCTGGCCGGGGCAACGTACCCGCTGAAGCGATAATAGATTCATTACAATAACGCTATGTACGAGCTGACCACCGCTCTGTTGACGCCCAACAATGTATGCCAATATCATGTGCCCATAGGCACGATGGTCTGAGCCCAAATCAGTATATACCGAAGTTTAGCAGCACCCGCCCCAGCCCTGTTGCTTTCCCTTTTTACTCGCGTCATTCAGGTTGACGCCTGCCCTATTCGCTCCGCCTCCCGGCCCCTTGACTCCACTCCTTCGATCGTTCAAGTCGTACTTGCCAGCTTCTATATTTTGGTATATCCGCTCTGCGACTTCCAAAAAGGCTTGTTCCACACCCTCTCCGCTCTTGGCGCTCGTCTCGACGTACTGCATGACGCCATTCGCTTTACACCACTCCTCAGCCTCTTCTTTTGTGACTTGTCGCTTGTTCGCGGCGTCCGAATCAGTTACGGTAGACGACCCCGCGAGATCAGACTTGTTGCCCACGAGCACCACGACGATGCCTTCCTCAGCGATTTGCCGCAAGTCGTGCAACCATGACGTGGCGGAGAGGAACGTGTTCTTCCGCGATATATCGAAAACTAGCAGCGCGCCCGATGCGCCCCGGAAATAACTTCTGGTGATGCTCTTGTACGTCTCCTGGCCTGCTGTATCCCATAGCGAAAGCTTCATGTGCTTCTGCTCCTGCTTTTGTTTCGACGGCGATACAGGCGCTTGTGCTTGTGAGGATTTGGAGGGGTTGTTGATGCTCAGGGAATGCGACGCTGGTGGGCCGACAGGGACGATGCGCGATCCGAACTCTACGCCGATAGTTACGTCGTGGTGTGGTGAGAAGCGGCCTTCGCAGAGGCGGACTGTTAGCTGGGAGGCGTTAGCATGGAGGCCCTGGGTAACGGGGATGGTGTCGCATACACTTGATTTACCACATCCTGAATCGCCTAACGATACGATCTTCGCTATGTAGTCCCACGGCTGCGCCATGGTGCTTTGTGACGCCGTGTGGCTGGTGTAGCAGTCGACCTGAGGTGCAGGCTTAGGGCGGTGGTCACAGCAAATCCAGTAGAGGTAGATGGATATGTATAGGAAGACGGTATTTATTGTTCAGAATGTATGTAGAATAAAGTAGTTCGCAAGTCGAAGCTTTGGGTGTGTTTGACAGGAAGCCAGTTGGACGATAGTGAGTGAGATAGGTCAGGGTCCCGGCCATGCGGTCATAGCTCGGCAGCTGCTTGAGCCACAGTCGTAGGATGCGACCCATGGCAAACGTGAAAAGCATGTCGCAATTTACTTTGCGCAAGCTTCGGCTACACGCCATCTTGCTTTTCTCTGTAGCTTTGATTGATTGCCACGACGAAACATGAGTCTGACAAGCAGGAGGTCGAGTTGCCTTGACTCGGACAACCACTATAAGGACAAATTTGCAGGCAAACGAGCACGACTAGAAGAAGATAAAATTGTCTGCAGACCCGTAGAGACAAGTTTACCGAATGCTTTGCATGTGAGGTGGAGCAGTTCTGGGGGCTAGGGAATAGCGCGTGCCTTGCATGTTCACGAGGTACGTGAGCCCGACAATCGATAACCCGACGCGCTGGCTTGGCACGATGATGAGATGAGCGACCATCACTCCAGCGCACCCGGCCAGCCACTCAACTCACTCACCACCTAGGCGGGCTAGAGCTCCCTGCTGTCCTATTGCTACCGCCCTACCACCGCCATCTCTACCATCTCCAGCTGGCCACTGCGCACTCTGCCGGCCCCCAGCTGCATGTCTCTTAGGCTGCGTCATCCGCGGCTGCCTCTTGTACTCCGGTACCCTTGCGCTCGACCGCCTCACGACCGCTGACCTCGCACCTGAGCCACCTTCGCTTCGGGACTCTCCTCGCGATAGATATACCTGGCCGCCATCGCCGAGCTCATTAGGCATATACACATCTATCGCGCACTTTATCTATCATGTTCTCTGAATGTAAGTGGACCTGGTGCCTTATCGGGTACATGTGACAGACCCGCCGCCTGTGTCTTGAGCAGCTTATGGACTCGCGTGACTGACGTGCGTGCTCCCCAGATGCATCCAAGTTTCTCTCCCAGTCTCAGTCGCGGCTGTCACTGGGCCAGCCCGAGCCGACTTCAACCCGCAACGCCCCCGACAGGCAGCGTCCGTCCTCGCGCGCCTCCCAAGCCTACCTCCAGCGTCGCAACATGCCCAACCCATACAACTCGCAGGCCATGAGCCGCTTTGCCTTCGCTTCACGAACATCCAACGCGCCCGCGCCACTCTTCTACTCCGCCACCGATGACTTTCGCGAGGAGGACGACCATGCCGAGCACGACAGGGACCTAGCAGACCAGTACGCGCTGCAACGCTCGCGGCGGCAGTTTGGCGCAAGCAATCTATCCGAGTCATCTGAGGTCGATGATGAACATGGCCAACGATCCGATCATACGATAGGTGCGGACAGGGACGAGAATGAAGCTCCAGGGTATGGTCTAGGGAGAGGGATTAAGAGCTCCTGGAAGGGCGACAAGCCAGCTCGCGGAAGATCGACCGTTATCAACAACCCAGAAGACGAGGAGAGAGAGTCAAGTGTACCGCTCTCTGAGACCACAGACCGCAGCAGCAGAGGGAGAGGCCACCTCGTAGATGTGGAGCTTGATTCCACGGATCGGGGGAGCATAGAAGAGTTGGACCGAGACGAGCTCCTGGGTCACCAGGACGAACCACCGCCACCCTTCCAACAGTTTCGCAACATGCCGAGGCCGAAGCGCGGTCGCAGCCCACTACGAAACACCCTACCGATACCACAGGAAACAGACGAAGACACTCTGCTCGAACACCCACGCCCAATAAGTCCGGATCGCCAGACTGTCCCCGACGACGTACCAGAGAACCCGACATCAGCGCCACGACACAACTTCTTTTGGGCTGAGCTCTTCATAATCGTGCAGTGTGCCATCTTTGGCACATGGATCATCTCTTTTCTCCAAGAGTCGCCACCGAACAAGAAGAACCCACTGGGCGACACCATATATACTGTCCTGCATTCGTCGTTCCACCTCATTGGTGTGTACACACTGGTTTCGGTCATTATTGGAGTCCTATGGCTATCGCTACTTCGGTCCTTCGCTCGGCCCTTGGTGCAGTTAATGTTACTGGCGGTACCAGTGATATCGTTTTCCTTCTTTGTATACCCTTTCGCATCAAGCTTCAAAGGGTCATGGCATGGCGATAGCGTACAAGACCGGCTGATGCGCTGGCTTTCGTTTGGGCCCTTATGCTTCGCTGGATTCTGGGTGTACACCATCTTCAAGGCACGACATTCTTTAGACAAAGCTACAGGCATGTTGGAGTTCTCAAGTGAGATCCTGAGAGCGCAATTCCCACTGCTACTCGTGGGTATTGCAACACTAGCTGCTGTGATACTCTGGGCGTGGATATGGATCCTCATGTTCACACGCCTATTCCTTGGCGGCCATTTTGCTAGCAACAAGTCCCGATGGATCATCGATGCTAGTACGTGGTGGCTTGGTGTTGTATTCTTCTTGGACTTTTTCTGGGGGTTGGCGGTCATTGCGGGTGTGCAACGCGCCACGACGGCAGCCACGGTATCTCAATGGTACTTCCACCGCAACAGCGTGCCTGCACCCGCGGCTAGAACGGTGGTCCAAGCCTCTCTCAGTCACGCGACCTACACCATGGCCGGCACGATCTGTTTGTCAACACTGATTTCACTCCTGGTCCGCCTTCCCCTCATCGTACTTCCAAGGCGACTGGCGGGTATGATTGGCATGTGCGCATATTCAGTCGTGCCGACGCCCATCGCTGCGTTGACAAACCCGCTTACCCTGACCTACGCTTCCATCCACGGTGTGCCTCTCAATCAAGCAGCGCGCGGTCTGTCGCAGATGAACTTCATCTCCGCTGCTTCACCAACCACAACCCTCGGCCCATCCTCGTTCAAGGACCATGGCCGACCATCGATTCAGTCATACCGTCTGGCAAAGTTGCTTCTCCACGCCATCCGCTGGGTCATAACATTGTCTCTCGGTTTCGGTGGATGGGTCTCGACTGCACGCATGCTCCAAGTCGGCGGGTCGGTACCATACAAGGGCAGTCTATACGCATACGTTGTGGGGCTCATCAGCGCGGCAATTGGCTGGGGCGCTCTAGGCGCCATGGAAGGAGTTCTCGGGGGTATCCTGGACGCAGTGCTTGTGTGCTGGGGTAGTGAAGTAGGAAGCGACGGGCAAGGAGAGGCTCGGTACTGTGTTGATGCCGGACGGTTGTTCGGCAATGAGGTCACTGGGCAAGGTCGAGGAAGATACGAAGTCTAGAGCATGATTTTTGTTTGCATCATTGGCGTTTCCGCACCAGAAGAACCTGGATAACAGATACGGTTATGGCGCTTGGGTATACCTATCGTTTATCCTTTTCAAATCGCTTTTGCTATCGGCAATAGCACTCGTATAGTTTTATTCAACTGAGATTTTTACGAAACTTTTCTGCCGTTGCTACGTTTTCGAATCACAGACTCTGCTACAGGTATGACCCGCATAAGCGGTCGTACGTGAGGCACGGCACCCAAATTGAATTGCTCTCGTCATCTATCTTAGACCTAGCTCTGGGTTCAGGAATGGGCGAGAAGTGGATGACGAACTTGTGTGACCTTCAATCGTCCATGCACATGTGAGTATTGGGTCAAAAGCACAGAGCTGGTCAGTCAAGACCTTCGTACAGGACGCACGAGAGCCTCGCATACCTGTGTATCCTGAAAAGAGTCGACTCCTGGAATGAAGTGACTCTTGAGAAGACAGTCACAGTAAGGATAGTATAAAAGGCCGGCAGTGAGTTCTGACAGTGGGCTTCTTTTTTACAACATTTAAAAGAACTATCAATTCACTCAAAACAAAGCATCCCCGAGAGCCTGTATACCTTGACACAACGTTACAGCAGCCACGAATACACCATGTCTTCATTCACAGACGATCATTTGGTTTGGGTTCTCAAGATGCTCGTCGACCCCGCGGACAACGGAGCCAGTCACGAAAACATTGAGCTAGTGGGTGTGTACAGCAGATCAGCGGACGACCAAAAGCTCCTACGGATCGCTCTGCAGAAGCATTGCGGCAATGACCAGGTTGCGGAAAAATGGGTTACCCAGCACCTACAACATAGCAGCAAATTCACCGAAAAGAACACCGATCTAGCGGTCATGAACTCCAACGGAAGCGTCCGCTTTTACATCAAATTTATAATCGAGGAGAACGCTCCTGTCGCAAAAACATTGATGGAACTGTCTGAGGGTGCTTCTGCAACCTTGTACACCGTGAGGACACGATCTGCCGATATGCTCGCGGACCCAGACAGCCCCGTGAGGGATGATGATGATGGCAACAACAACGACACCGAAGACGAAGACGATGCCGGCGAAGAAGACGAGGAGGAAATGGCTGATGATGAAGAAACGGAGGACGACGAAGCAAAGATTCGAAAAGCCCGTGACGGACGCCGTATAATTGATGGCGAGAATTTCCTGGAGATTGTCCAAAGCGGCAAACGCGAGTACTTCATCGGACACGAGGTCCACACTTTCCTCAATGTGAAGGATGCAATCGAGGATGTTAAGAAGCAGACTATACCCAACCCTGAGACCCACGGGTACCGATATGGACCTCACAATCGGTTCGGAGTGATTGTTACTGGGAAATTGGCGGGTGATCATGCGCTCGAAAGTATGTCCTGGGTCACGAAGGTGGTTGCGAGTGGGAATGAGCGAAAGGATGACTACACTCTCAGTCTCAAGGACTGATGGGGAATTGTAGTATGCTCTTGTATAGGCTAGGTTATTACATATAATATAATCCTGGTTGAAACCTTGATGTGCAAACAACGAGTGAGATTCTGCATGTGATGTTTGCTGGTACCTATTTGCAGATGACGCGTCAACCCTGACGGTTCCGACGTCCCAACTACACCATGACCAAACTGAACTCACGAACATCACGATGCGCACTCACGACATGACTTTCATCATCTATTCGGCGACAGCTACACCGACAGCATGTATCGGACAGATATAATACCGCAGAGCCCATCGCACTGCACACTTGAGGGAGCGAACAGTGCGTCTGGTAGGGGCATCATGAACCCCACCTGCGAGACTGGAGTGAATTATCAGGCCTCTCCACAGTTACTTTGAGGTCTGAATCATAGCCCTGATTAATTCGTGCGTACGACAGCAAGGCGGCTGCCTCGGATGTACCCAACACGGTTCCGTCATGAGAACAAAGAAAACACGTCTGTGCCTGACAGCAATGTGACACATCTGTCAAGCTGGGTGGGCAAGACGAGCAATGAGCGAATCCCAAGTGGAGTTTGTGCGACGTACGTTGGAGTTTTCGTGAACCGGGCCTACATCATGGACTCATATATGGTGGATCACTTTCACGTTACTGGCCGCGTGAGATCATGACTCCCTGAGTATATGGCCCAGAGTTCTCGCCCGGACGTTTTGGCAGTTCATGGGACATCTATCGCTCAGTGTGCGGCATAGCCATTCTCTAGTACAACGTGCCGGCCCAGCACTGTGAGTCGGAGACTACACTTATGAGTACTAAAATGACGAGAGCAGAAGCTCCGCTAAAGATAGACTCAGAGTTTGGAAAAGTATAAAAGGCGTCGAGGGTTCCGCAAGTCAAGTCTATCAGTCACCAACATTCTCAACTTACTACTTTGCCATACAAGATCTATCATATCCAACAAACTGCCTATTTACATCCGCGATGTCAAGCTCAGACAGCCAGGATTCTATCATCCTATGGATTGTCGTGGAGAGAGTCCATGAAATGCCTAAATTGGTCCGCCATGGGCCTTACAGCAATGCTAAATGTGACCGAGACCACGAAGCAAAACTCTTCCAGAAAGACTTCGTCAAGCACCACTTGGAAGACGAGCAAGCTACTTTTGGACCAACCACGACGTTCTTCAGAAACGAAACCGACGCCGACGCCATCGAAAAGGCCTTCATCAAGCTGCTTGATACGGGTGAACGACAGAAAATCAGGTTCCGGGGAGGCAACGCTGACGATTGGGATGATTGGGGCTGGATAAGGGTGGAGGGAACGAACCAGGAGGAGGGGGAGACCCAGGAGAAGAGAGTGACCCCGGGGGAGAGAGTGTCCCAGGAGGAGAGAGCGAACCAGGAGGAGATGGCAAAATCATTAACGAAACTGATCGCTGGTGAAGACCCTGGCAGCCTGGGACCGCCAAAGAAGCCATATGGAGAAGGTCTTGATCTATATACAGTATTGAGAAGGAAGTGGCCCAGTAGAATGTTCAACTATTGGTTCCACGAACTTGGGCAGTTCGAAACCGAGAAAAAAAATCTCCGCGAGGATGTACGAAATCCGTACCCAGACCACCACGTGTCGTTTTACAAAGAAATGGGACCAGAGGCGAACAGCGAAGCCATCGGCAATTTGGAAACATTCAAAGACCGAGCAGAAGCTGTAAAGTACGCGAAGAAGATCGCTAAATCTCCGCACTGGCATCCCTATAACGCAAAAATGGAGACCGATTTGGGCGAAACCGAACACCAGTTCATTTGCATATACCCGAGTGAGGAACAAGGCTTTGAAGAGGTGCTCGTGGTTGATCACTTATACATCAGCAAAGAGGGGAGGGAATGCTGGAAGAGACCTGTGAGACTTTAAAGTGCGCCTTTGACCCAGACTGCGGTCTGGTCCTGGGTTAGGCTGGGTCATTCATATTGTACTTCGGTATACGGTATGATTACGATAGCTTTGAGGTGGAAGAGATCGCTCCAGGAGGAGCCTGTTCCTCTAAGGCATACTCGGGAAGTAGACTCCTGAAGGGTATTTGGCGGAACGTGTAGCATGGGAACTGCCTGGTTTTGAGAGTGTAATCTATCAGCTAGGCTGATGTTTAGATATTTGAATCTTATTTTTGGTTTATGCAAGTATTTGGTTTGTACGAAGGAGGACGTGGGCTAATACACCGGGGCATTTACGTGGAAGTCATAGAAATTAAAAATCACACCCATTTTTTTGCGGGCATGGGTGTATACTGTAGATTACGACATTCGTATGACCACTGACACTGTAGCAATTGCAAAATGACCTTATCAGAGGGCTTGCTGCAGCAAACTCCTAGTTTGGAGAAGTAAAATTAGCGTAAACCTTTCAGCAGATAGAGTTCATTGTGTTTCGTTCACGTCACTAAGGCCTGATTCATCATAATCGACTGCCACATTATCTCAGAGACTGTCTTCGAAACTAGAACTACCCGTGTATCAACCTCATTTCTCTTCAAGATGTCCAGTGAGCAAGAAACGCAGGACAAGGCCACGTATTGGATCATCATCGACAATGTGGGAAGACCAACATACAAGATGTCCATTAGTGGAGTCTTCAGCATTAGCGCAGACTGCCGAGAGCGCGAGAGGAGTCGCTTTACCCAGCATATGCTCAACCTATATCCTGAAGCCGTCAATCAAGGCCCTTGGGCAGAATTTGAATGCCGGCGGCGTCTCCACCGCGCATGCGACGATTTGTTCAACAACCCTAAAACCGTCCAGGAGCTTGCACTATGGTCTAACGATACCAAGGCTTTCGAAGAAAAGCAATTACAGATTAGTTTAAAGCCAGACCAAGACTTCCAGGGGAAGGTCACTGACGAGTTGGACGAAATCCTCTTGAATCAAGCGAAGCAACCTCTCGAAGACTCCAAAAGAGAGCCGGCAAAACTGGGTTTGTACACTGTAACCGTCAACAGAATTCCCGAACCTATCTTGGAACAGCACTACCCTACACATAAGGGCTTGCCCGCGGTCGTCGCAAGAGAACTTCGTATGGAAAGGTACCGTAGTCTGCAGTTCACGGGAATGGAAGTTGAGAGTATTGAAGTCTTTCTGAACCGGGAGGATGCTATCGATTACGCGGAACAGCTAGATTATAAGCATGAAGTTGAGGATTTCGATATTGATCCTGAGCAGGTCGATCATCCAGGGCTTCCCACGGCAGGTCAGCCGGAACATCGAGCAATCTGCGAGGCTCTTCCGAAGGACAGGAGTGAGCCTTATAGGGTGATTATGCTTAACCACACTCTGGTGTATGCTGTACCACCATCAACGGATTAGCCAGTTTAGCATGTAAGGCTCTCGAATACTTGTTGATCAAGATGTAAGAGCGGAAAAGTTAGGAGGGGACTAAATGAGATGGATGTGAGATCTTCCCCGAGCCTTCGTCATCAAGTGATGAAATGCATCTCATCGTGCAGAATAGTGATGTGGCTCGTTGAGAAAAGACCGACCTCCCCTTCAAACGTGGACGAGCTAGAGTAACTAGCGTCTATACGATCTGAACGTATGACACGAAGGCATCGTAAGCAATCGATGCAAAGCTCATGGGTGTCGGCAGAGGTAGTACAAGTGCGTCGGAGGTACTCATTAAGGTGCTCGGAGTGGAACAGATGAGAGCTGGCATGGATAACAGTCTCGATGGAGCGAACTGCGCGTTCCAAAAGATGCTTCATAATAGTGCTCGTGTAAACTGCCATAAGTATTTACAGGAGCCGTCTGCGGTTGGAGAAGATGAAATGTAAGAACATTCATATCCGACATAGCCCTGGAGTACTATGTGATCGTCATGTTGCTGGATGTAGATCGAGCTTGAATCATTGCGATATCGTCAACATAGGCTGCGCACAGTCTTTGAGGATGTGAGTCCAAAGTCACAGTGGCACGGAGTCAAGTCTAGTCTTTTAGTCAACTGTGACAAGAAGATCACTTTCAGTCATTACGAATGACTCAAATATTTACCATATAAAAACCGCGTTCATCCTCCCCAAGTCGCATGTACACCTACAATCACCTTCATATTACATATACCATCGTTGTTAACATACTACCAATCTACGACCCTATCCACCTTGTGAGACAGTATGGGCCAATTCTCAGAAAACACCATATTCTGGGTCACACTATATTCAGAGCCCGGACATAATGCTCAGTTTGGCAACGGTGGAATTTTCAGCAACTCCCCCGAGCAGCGAAAAGCGATGAGAGATCACTTATGGAGCCATTGCATGGTCACGAAAGATCATTCCATGAGTGAGCAACTGCTCGACGAAAGCTTGGAGAAGTGGCAAAAGAATAACGTGGAAAACCACGCTGGCCATTACGACTCCCATCAGGAACTTTTCGTCATCGAGTCAGAGGAAGAAGATAATGAAGAAGTCGCAGACGCCCTCCGATCACCAGACCCAGTGACCTTATACTCCTTATACGCCTACACATGCCGCGCTATGTGGGACAAGGAAGTCAAATCACTTATGGAAGAAGGGGTCGAAGAGCCGGAACAACACGTAACGCCAGAGAGAGTGATACTCCAGAGTTCTTCAACTGAAGGGTTCGGAGAGCTGGAGCAGCCTTCATTCGTTGCGCAGGACGGATTCAACACGATCCTCAGATCATACCATCCGAGGTATGAACTTCTTGGTAATTTCAGAGTGTTTGTGGGGAAGAAAAAAGCTGTTAAATTTGCGAGAGATAAGACATGGTATGAGGAGGTTGATTATGATTGCGACAGGGTTGGCCAAAGCAGGGGTAAATGGGGCTGGGCGGGTGTCGTCCAGGTCAAATGCCCTATCAAGGGAGACGGGGAGAATACTTGCGATTTGCTAACACGTCTCTATACTGTTCAAAGTTGCACTCCAGTCGAAGGACGTGGTACGCTACCTTATTTTGAGAAGTACCGTGAAGGCGAACCGGTTCCTCTCATCTCTGCCTAAGTGGTTCATGTAGCATTTGCTAGATTTAATGAACTCTGCATGTAAGCAGTCGCTGAAACGTTAAAAGATATTTCTCTTGAGTGTAGTCAATCACAGACAAAGCAGTGCGTGACGATATCTATGCCTGCGAGAGCTTGTGGTTGTACTGAGTCACATTCCAGTCGTACCGAGTTGACTGTGAGTGTCGTTGGAAAGGTCAAATACCCGTCGTTGGAGGCTGAAAGCTTTAGGGGAGGGACTGTAGATACATGAATAAGAGTGTTCGAGAATGCTAATAACGGAGGCAGCATGCCTGCGTCATGGGTCGGTTGGTGGCTAGCGCGAGTCGACGCGTAGTGAAGCGGGACCCGATCAACACGGCTACTGCAGCCCAAACACGACTCGGCGCAGCGAACAAGCAACACCAAAGCGCCCCAGGCTCCATGGAGTGCCCTGCCCGCCAACATGTCCTCCCGCAACGTGCCCACGATGAAGTCGCTGTCTGGCGCTGAACGCCGCTCCGTCAATGCCAACTACACGTCGACTGCGCGACCCCGCGTCGCTTCTGGAGAGGAACTCGACCGTCGTAGCTCCACCACCGCAGCGTCACATGCCAGGAAACAGTCAGCACCCATGCGCGCGACAGGCGCGACTTCGGGCGAGCGTCGCGTAGAGAAGAAGGAGGTGCGCGAGCGGGAGACGGAGATCAGGCGAACAAAGAGCCCGTTGAAGCATGCCAGTGAAAGCAGGGCGAATGCGCGAAGCCGCTCAGAGAAACTTCCGCGCGACGTCGACCGACCCTCACGCAGCGCCGCCTCGCAAAAGTCTATCCCCGAAGAGCCCCAGATGCCATGGGAACCGCAGGCTTCTTTGATACCACACACGACCGCCCCGCTGGCGACGCGCATCTCGATACCTCCGCTCGCATCCACCGCGCCTATATCGCTGCAGCCCACACCGCTCGCAAAACTATCGCTAGAAGCACAAGAGAAGGCTATACTGGAGGATCTGTTGTTTGTGTTCATGGGATTCGAGGGGCAGTACATACGATTCGGCGATGGCTACAACCCCCATGAAGAGAAGGAACGTTTGGTAGGGCCACAGTTCCGCCTGATGCCCGGCCTGGACCCTAGTCTGAGGGATCTGACAAAGTCGATGCTAAAGACTGCCACACACTACATCGCCGTCGAGACCTGCGTAGAGGTGCTCAGTCGGGAAGAGTACGGTGCCGTGAACCATGCGTTGTGCGCGGCTGTACGACGGTTGCTCAAGGACTACCTCATACTCGTTGCGCAACTTGAGCACCAGCTGCTGACGAACGAATCCTTTACTCTGCACGTCTTGAGCCTACATACCAAACAGACCAGCCACATGCTCTTCCAGCTCTACACGACCGGAATCGAGCTGCTGAAAGCCAACGGCATTCTGGAGGATGAGAAAGACGAAGACTCGGCTGATGACGACAGCAATGACTTCGAAAACATCCTGGAGTCGTTGCGCGAAGGAGGGAACGCCGCCAAGAAGCTTTGCAAAGGTGGAAGCGTGTTAGGACTCATCACCAAGCGGCTATCGTCCATGTCGGGAGATCCAGCGGCTCGCGCACTACTGACCACACTACTACGAGAGGCTAGCAGACCGTATATGGCTATGTTGAACGAGTGGCTACATCACGGCGGTATCAAGGACCCACATTCCGAGTTTCTGATCAAAGAGCAGAGAAGCATCAAGCGAGAGAGATTGGACCAAGATTATACAGACGAATACTGGGAGAAGCGATACACGATACGCGATGCTCTTGTGCCTCCACAGCTGGAAGCCGTCAAAGACAAGGTGCTCCTGGCAGGAAAGTACCTCAACGTTGTAAGGGAGTGCGGAGGTGTCGACGTTAGTAAAGTCGTGCAAGACGCCCCTACTAGCTTCGACG